TGAGCATCTCAGCTTTCACTCCACAGAAGGCCAACTTGATGGCTTTGATTGGGTGCATCACCCCATCCACCTTCACAAACTTCGGTGGATTCTCGTCGTTTGCTTCGATATTTACAGAAATCTGAAGAAAAAAAACCTCTCGATGCGAGGATAACATTGAAGCTTGCATACTAGTAGTAATCATACTTGAAAGTGGTTCTTCTTCTGATTGACGAAGCAGCCATCAGAATTTGAGTAGTTGAATCCTTTATCAGCCACCACGCAGATTTTCAGTTTAGTTAGTTGCTGATGATTAATATCGTACAACGGACTCCACTGGTCCTCTTGGAAGGTCGAGAATTTGATCACCTTGAACTAATACGTTAGCTTGAATTGATTGCAGTTTTTAGATTTTTGTGGCATAAAAAAACGCGAAAAACCTGTTGAGAGAAATTTTCATCTTGATAGCTGCAATCAATGGGGCTGGCAGCTACCGGTGTTTGTCCCACACCGGGAAATGATGGCAGGAACTTTGGTGGGTCGAGCTGATTGTCAGTACGCGGACGCTTCCTGAACAAGCTTAGTAGTTGAAAATTCAATTTTTGGGATAATTTTCAATGAGCTAAACCAACCTAGGAGCTTCGCTCTGCTGACTGTTAATGCTACCTTCACTTGAAACATTCAAGATATTGAACAGTCCTGCACTGTAGCCATTATTGACAATGTACTGACTGTCGTGACGACCATTCGAGACCGGCGGAGATACCTAAAGTGGAGATCACGCTAGAGTGGCCATCACTTTCATTAATAGCCTTTGTGGAAGAAAAACCGCACCTGCGGCAAACTTCCAGGAGTTGGTTGACTGGGAGGATACGGGCTCATGAAGCAGCCATTTTGTGGAGAAGTCATCGGATGTGATACCGGGCCATGTGGCTGTTGATGTAGTTCATGAGTCATAATCCCAGGGACTCCAAGAATGAGGCCATTGTTGTTCAGATTACCATGAATACCTTGAATAAAAGAGCTTCAATTTTTGCATGCAG